ATGCGACAGCTCTGCGTTCTGGCATCAAATCATTCTACCATAGCACGAGGAGGATTGTAGTGATGTGGCGTATATCTCCCATTCACTGAGGGATACTCCCCTCATAATTTAATGCATCGTGTTTGTGACTGGATGGAAAGGTTAATTTTCACGTGCTCAGACTAAATATTAGATGGATTATCCTAAAGTAGTAAAATAGTGAAATTAGGACTATCCTTGGGGTGGAAATGCTCCTTGTCCACCTCAAATTTTGGGCCCACTTTCCGTGAGACAGCTTGGCAGATGGTGGTAATGGGCCACAACTGTAGTCGTATCCCTTACTCAGTAACGGCGAATTCCAGAACAACAAGAGTGAAATTTTAAGATGATGTCGATTTCTGACTGTCCCCTTACACACAGAAGCCTTACTCTAAGTGATACGAAAGTCAACTTACAGTTTAGTGGTGTAAGTCTGCACGATATTTTTGTCAAATTTTTACCCTGTTCACCTTTATTTCAGCAAGTGCGTGGGTTGAATGTGGAATCGCCCACATGACTTGTTACGCCATATCCCAAAGAAGACGCCTTGTAGGTCAGGAACATGAAAGCTCATAGGCTGATGTAAGTGTAGAGCATTCTTATAAATTCACCTTGGTCTGTGAGTGTAGAGCATTTCTAGTGGGAAGATGGCATTCCAGTTATGTCTCATTTTGTTTGCGACTTCAGTTTTGGCTCAGGAATACAAAGGAAGGGGCAGTAAGTTGCCTTTTAATATTTGACTCTGATGGGCATTCTTACAGAGTATTTGACAGATTGTAGCATATGTTGAATAAAAATTTCATGTACAGCTTCAAATTAAGTTATAAGTAGTTCCATTCTACTGCATTTAGGCAAATTGAAACTCTCATAAACCCCAATTGTAGAGGTGTAAGTATCCACACTGTTCACTACTGTTATTTGCTGAGGATTGAGGTGTGTGCTGCACGCACTTTAACGAAAACAGTTAAACATTGCCTGTGATAAAGTAACTGCCTCTACTGGTTGATTACAGTGTCCCAGACGAAAAAATTCGTCACCAATGAGTAAAGTCGCTGTCCCCACATTTCATGTGTAGTTCTCTTTCCTTTACAATTCCTCCAGCTTTTTATGATTTCTAAACTTTAAATTATTTCACGCACTTACGTATCATTTTGATCTGCAATTCAACTTGTAGGATGATGCTCATTTTCAGTCCCATCAAGAGGATAAATATAGTGATGTTCCGTTACCATTCCTAGTTCGGCCAACATGTTTGGTGTAAATGTACCTCCTTTTCTGGGGCTATGTGAAACAAAAGGCCTGGAATATTTTAGCTTAATAACATATTTTCAATTTCAGTAGAGACAAAGACAACAGAGAGTCCGCTCCGTAAACACTTCAGTTTGACTCTTGTGGGTTCTCAGGGCATTCGCTTAAGTTGGGAAGTCCAACACTTGCCTAGCCTCCAAGGAACAAATATTTCCCTAAAAGCGGTGAATCCTTCTGACCCCCTAGCCTACAAGAGACAAACTGCACCATTCCTAGTCGGACAACTCACTCTTGGCGGGCTGAGGCCCTCCACATTATACGAAATCACTGTAGAAGCGATGAGAGCGAAAGCGGCCATTTTGAAATTCACCGAAGACATAAAAACACTCCGCATTGGTAAGCTAGTGTGTTATCATACCGTGCTTATCTGTGGTAGTGTTTCCTGTATCACATATAAAGAAAACACTGTTAAACCTACCACCACTACACAGTCGTCGCCACTCCTTACTATGCATTTTACATTTGAGTGACGCACATGTTTTGCTTGACATAATTAGCTCCACGTCTCGTTTACATGGGCGAGAAAGAAAGCACCGTAATGACTAGTGGATCCGCCTTAACATCCGCAATCGCCGGTTTCGTATTCAGCTGCATAGTAATTGCCCTTACTTGAACCCTCATGTGAGTCCACGCAAATTATCCACTGCTTTTATACTGAGTATCACGACCCATAACTTGCGTTTTGTAAATAGCTCTTTTTCTACAACAGGCTTCCATGGTGCCGAGGATGCACAAGTCACCATTTATTTTTGCTTTTTACCATTTGTATGACCTCTCATTGTGGAATACTCCCGAATGACAAATGCATGACTTTGTCATATTTGCTTCATTTTTATCACCCTTAATTCCAATTCAGTGACTCGAATTGGATTAACTCCTATAAGATGAACTGAGGCCAAATTGCAGAAATTTAAGAGGTTCATTAGGATAGCAGACTGCAATTTTTCATGCAAAATAGGTCAACATCAACCTACAAGTTTGGCTCACTAGACGGAACTGGGGGTCCACAGTGGTCAATTTACTATCCTGAATACCTGGCTTTTGTGTACGACTTATGCCTAATTTGGAGCATAACGGCACACATAGAATGGACGATTTTCCACTCAAACAGCGTATTTGCATCTTTGATTAAAAGCCAAGCCCCTATGAGTCATGTCGGGGCATTCACATCTCTGTGACCCCCTCGAAATGTGGCTACAAGTATTTTACAACAGAGGATTAGCCACTGGACATGACCTAACTGATTCCATCATGCTCTACGAGATTTCAACCACCAGTAGATATTCGCCCTGCATAGTCGACTGGCGCATTCAGTAAGGGGCAAGACAGTGCTGAATATCATATTTAATTTTACAGAGGCCAAAGAAAACAAGATTTGAGTTTAGAAGGCAAAAGTGTTGGCTGCATAGAGATATCCAATTCTTTCCCCTATATTATTAGACATTAGCCAACTGTGTGCATCAATATGGTTTACTGTCAGAAGTATTTTGATTGCCCAATCATTCCTTTATCACAATGTCCTGGGATGCTACTTGAAGGCTATTACTTAGCATCTCGAGCATTTACCAATGCAGCCTTAATAAACTAGTCAGGGTACTTTGACCAACAGACTCGCAAAGGATAAACAAATGGATTGAAAATGGAAATGGCGTAGAGCTCATGCTATCCCAAGTGTGCATGATGACTTGAAGTTGGCGGCTAAGTCAATTTAGAAATAACAGCTAAATTGAGAATATGAAAGAAGACGTGTAATAGAGATTATTGTGAGGCCACGTAGGTCGGCAAGTGGGCATGTTAATCGGGGGATTGCATTTGGCAGGCCACCAGCTAGCACGTGCAAACACACACATTGGTCGCTATGCTTGTGATTCCTAAGCAACTGCTCTCCAAATGAGCTACTTTCACACGAATGGAGCAAGAAAGTCGGAGACCCAGTACACACAGTGGGGGCCCAATTCCACTTAGTGGGCCAAACCTCGTTTTGATTTATTGCCTTAATCTACACATATCATTCTAAATAAAGTGCATTCCAAATAGTTTCGACTTAGAATGATAACTTTCTGCATTTCCATTTTATTTGGCGCTTAGCTAGTACACGGAAAAAAGCAGCATTTACAGTCCAACAAAATGTCCGTTTTTCTCACTTCAAAGCGCAATGAGATCAACTTTATTAGTTTGTTATTTATATGGTTATTTAATCAGTTTTCCAAGCTATTGGAGCATTCAGTTGTGCACTTCTAACAATTTAATGAGTAAAATTATTACAAGCTCTTATTCGTAGGTGCTTTGCACTTCGCAAGCAACGTGAGGCCCTCATTAACATGTTCTAACAAATAATTTGCCGGGTTGTCATTGTCAATAATTCCTTTCCCTTCCATTGGGAATTTCTATCAGTTCTCGAAAAAATGTCTGCTTTTAGTTTATTTAGTTATGCGTTGTTTAATTAGGCTAATCAAAAAACTCACCTTTTATACCACATTTGGCCTCCCATGAACATTATCTGCTGGCTATTTTAATCCACAATGCAAAAGCCCTTGTTGATGGCAGGGCGAATCTTTTATGCACAAAAGTTACATTGCAGCTTCAACAAAAGAATTATGACCACATAATTGTTCGTGTGCTTTTCATTCTTATCTTCGCCCTACTGGTCAAGTACAAAGCCAACCGTTGTCTCAGGTCCACTCATCGAGGTGTGATTATGGAACATTATGGTGCAAAACTTGCGACGGTAGAATTCGGACTGCAAGGCGGACAAGCCCGAAACATGGTCTCTCAATTTCTTAAATGCCCTCTCTTAATATCAGAGCCTCAAGGTACGAGGACAGCGCAAAGCAGAGTAAGGGGTGGCCGGCGCACACTTAAGGAACACTCGGATCGACTCTACAGGTTCCTACCAGTTCCAAAATATAGAAATCGCACGAGCTTCTACACTCATCTTTGCATCCTTGCGATTGGGGGGAACTGCAGTCCCCATCGATGGTACAGATCCAGGGGAATAATGGGGAGAGGGATGCATACAGGTGAGAATTTTCATGCTCAACATCTCCAAACAAGATCGAACGCACTACAACCAATTGCGAAGACAAAAACGATCAAATATGCCAAATGTATTGTTGGTGGTATTTATTAATAACAACATGGGGAAATGAAATCACGTTCAAGTACGTCGTAATCTCCAGAAGGCGAATTGCAAGTTGTCTCAGACAAGATAACTCTGCTTAGTTTGACCTATGCGGTATGCCACGCACTCACCGCACAGAAAGTCGCTGTTTACCACCACAGAGATCACTGTCTGACTAATAAGGTAGACATCAGCAGTCCCTGGCACCTTGAAGCACGATGCCACGTTCGGCGCAGATATGCCAACACCTTTAAAAATAATGGCAAAGTAATTCAACAAAGCCACTGGATCCATTCACACAGCCACAACATATCACGGCAATAATTCAGCCTCCGAAAGGGGTTGTTTTCGTAGCAGTATCCACAAAACACTTTCAGCGATGGACTAATACTACAGACAAGCAGTTTCTTATACTAAGGAAGTTTAACAAGGACAAGGCTGCGAAAAGTAGTTCCCATCTCCGCTTTTGGATAACCTACCCAGACTTTGCCCCTAGGATTTGCAAGGGAACTGCCTTACATATGCCTCTCCGTTGTGGCACTGAGGAGATGGAATACAGAACTTCCACAGTATTATCTTTCGTCTAGCAGTCAAACGCCATTGCCTCGGTGGCATAGAAAAATTTACGTCCAGCGAAACACACCACGTCTCTGAATTAAAGATAAAGTACTGCTGTAAGGAAGCAATATGAAATTTAGACTAAACGGTTGAAGGAAACCTCTCAGAATACACTACTGCCACATGCGTAAAGGAAGCACTGCCTCATGCAGCCACCGAGGAGAGCTCAGGAAAAATAACAACAAACATTAAAAATATGGGGGTGAAAAACAAGCTCCGCTATTCCCATCTTGCTCCAAGAAGAAGCATTTGACGCCATCGGTTCCAAATAAACATGTGGCACCACAAAGTAGAATTAAATAAAGGTGAGCTGCCTCACATACGCACTGAGGAAAATCAGAATAATTTATAAGGAAATAAATTCCGGCGTTGAAGGAATGGTAAACAGAAGGCCGGAATTAACTGATTGCACCTCTCGTTCAGCATTTGTTGCCAAGGCTATTAACAACACCACCGGCCCTAAGGAAACAATGACTCAAAAAAGCAACGCTTGAAGCAATAGTGGGGAGTAAAATAAAACAGTACTCCCCACTTTCTCTCCACATCAGCCTTTACCACCACGATGTCTAGGAGAGTAGACATAATTACACATTGGTATACTGAAAATGCATCCATCTTTATATGCATACATGCATATGTGCGAAGTCAACAAGCCAATAATTGCCACGTCCCGGGCTGGTGGAACGCACCCCTACGTGTTGATCATGTTTCCGAGGCCAAGAAGAGGTGCCAAATTCTCCAAAACCCACGATTATCTAGCAGTTGTCACGCCACTGCAACTGAATTATGAGCGAAAATCAAGTTTGACCTCTGGCCATGGAGCCGTGACCCCGAGCAGGAGACGAAGTCCCCAAAAACTACAATTATCTAGTAATGGCCGAGCTACTACGAGTAAGACAGGTGCGCAAATCACGCCATGACATTATGAGTGCCTCCGAGGCACACTCGACATTCAAATATCAGGGTCTCGACGATCAAAGCTTCACAGAATCAGCGCTAAGGTCAAATGTTTCTGAAGGGAAGACAGAGAGCAGAGAAGAGGACCCTCCTGCTCACATCAATCAATCTATCATTACAGGTCCTAATTCCCCCATCTGCTTCAGTTCCTCCTGCCATTTTGTACTTCCTACCACTCCAAAACTCAATTCAACACGTCTACCTTAATTACACCCGGTCCCCCAGTTCCCATCACTCCGGGGCATAGTTCTTTAACTATCCACAAAAGCTCCTCTCCAAGTACCTAATTTCTATCACTACAGAACTGATTCTCCACCCAACTGTTCCTTGGAAAATCCAGTTCGCACAAAACTTGAAACTGCCTCTCTACATACATACCCGAATTCGTTCCAGTTACCTAGGCCGCATCACTAGAAAAACTTACTCCTTATCTGCCTAAATTCCTCTCTAAGTATCTAGAACCCATCACTCCAGGACCTAATTTTTCACATATCCACTTCGACTCATTCTAATCACTCAATTCGCACCACTTGAAACCTGAAAATCAAAATACCACCGTCAGTTCCATTTTGATTTCTGGTTCCAATCAATCCGGGACATAAAGCTATGCATGTCCACCTCAACTTCTCTTTGAATAGCAAACGCCTCTGATTCTTTTACTTAACTTTGCCTTTTTAACTCAATTCCCTCCTATTTTAT